GTGGTGGGTGGAAGATGGAGGATGGGATAAACTTGTAGTGTGCACAGATTCATGATCTTCCCTATTGGCATTGGTTGGGGGAGAAGGAAACGGCACATGTTGGGGTAGAGGGCAATGAGTTGGCAGATAGGGCAGCAAAGACAAGTTTGTGCAGAAACACAGTAGATGTACAAGGACACTTGGAAGGATGGAGTGTCGTAGCATCATCGGTGAAAAGCTAAATCAGAAATGGCAGCAAGAGTGGGATGGAGACATCAGAGGAAGAAAACTATTCATCCAACATCCAAGCGTCTGTGAAACCTTTCAATAAAATAACAATGCCTCGAACTGATCAAATCAAATTGACAAGGTCAAGGCTCAGTCATTGTGGACTAGCAAGTGGGTGGGTGATTGTGGGAAAACACAGAGAGGGCAACTGTGACAACTGTGGAGTCCTGGAGTCTGTCCAACATGTATTGATGTATTGTCCACTCTGTGTCAAAGAAAGGAGAAAGCTGTTTATAGAAAATGGCAAACTTGGTATTGAAACCTTTTCTATAAAAACACTGCTTGGGGATGGGATGTACAAGAAGGAGAGAGAAGTCGTGCATTTCCTTAAAACTCTAAACTTCTATCGAACGCTATAAACTGAGGACATAAACTGCAGTGATGGTTCTTTACCTGTGGGAGGCAGCAATGCACCAAGTAGTGCCTGGTCTGCCGGAAAGAAGAAGAAGAAGAAGAAGATGATGATGATGATGATGATGATGATGATGATGATGATGATGATGATGATGATGAAGATGAAGATGATGATGATGAAGAAGAAGAAGCAGTCCAACATCTCTTAGTCATCTCTCATCTTTCAGTCTATGTCGATCTCAGAAATAAATGGATGAATACTGGAACTCCTCAACATGTTGCTGATGTTCCTGTTCGTCTTCATCACGAACAAACTGTCAAACGGTAAGATGGCGCCTCCTTCTTTAAATATAAGAATAACGTGTAGGAGGGAGCATGAGGAGGCACGTGGCCACAACAACGGTTACATAACACGTGTGATAATAATATGCTAGTTAAGCTA